GAGCCAAGCCGAGCCGAGCAGGGGCCGCCCCCTGCCTGCACCGCCCCTGGCTCCACCTGCCCCGACCCCGCCCGCACAGCAGCCTCGGCCCCCCGCCACCAGGGCAGCCTCGGAGGGTCCTGCTGCCTCCCCCCCTTTGGCAAGCGCTGGCCCAGGCCCCCCTCTGAGCCCTAGGCAGCCCCTCCCCCTCCGGCCTCGCTTGGGCTCTTGTCTGAACTCCCTCAGCCACCCTGACCCTGAGGGGGGGAGCTCGACAAAGCCCTGGCTGGGATGGCCTCGGCCGGGCAGGCCCTGATTTGAGCATGGGGTGGGACAGGAGCCGAGTTTCTCAACCCAAAAGTGCGTCGCGAGAATATAGGGAAGGAACCAACTTGAAAAAGGGATTCTCCTTTAACGAAGAAAAATGTGGGAAGCTGGGCCTGAGAGGGCTGCTTGGGGCCTGCCCCGCCTCACTTAGGGGGACGCTGGGGCGGGACTGCCCATCGATGTTTACAAATGGGTCCTGGTACAAAAAAGGTTGAGAAGCACTGGGCTAGATGACCTTCTGGCATGAATGACATGTGCCCTGGGCAGCTGGGGGACATGGCCCTGGCGGGAGCGCAGTGGTGGTAAGCAGGGGAGCTCCCACAGACGCTGTGCCCCCCCAGCTGCCCAGGGCAGGTGAGTGCTGACTAGGCGTCGGTGGAGCCTTTTTGTAGAGGGTGCAGTGCCACATACAAGGGGTGCACGTGCAGCTGCATGCAGCCCCTGCGTGTCACCCCTGCCTCCTGGGGTCTCTTCTAACCCTCACTTCCCATGAGTGTATGAGGGGGCACAGATGCCAGCTGGGCTCGCAGGAGGTGTAACGAGGGCAGGGAGATTGGGCACAGCCATGCACAATGAGGGGATGCTGCTTTGTGGAGGCTTTTGAGGTGTCCGTGTGGCTTTGTTCCAGTTCAGAATGATGCCCCCCTCCAGATTTCAGAGCCCCCCAGGAACAGAAACAGAAGGAATCCACGTTTTTTAGTGCTGAGCAACACATTTTGTTCCAGTTTGACTTTCTGCTATTATTTCTCTCACTGTTAATAATGTTGGGTGATATAAAGCAGGTGGAAGGCAGGGCAGAGTTGCACTGGGTAGACCAGTGATTCCCAACTAGGGTGCCAAGGCAGCCAGGGGTGCCACAAGATCCTTTGAAGGGTGCTGCAGGAAATGTGAGGAGAGTACATAGGGCTCTGCCCTACAGGGGCCTTTAAATATTCATGAGTGGGGAAGAAGGATGCCGGGTCCAGAGTCTGAAGCCACTGAAATATTGATGTCCCTGGTGATGTTTTGCCATGGCTGTGGAATAAGGAAGCCTGGAGCAGCTGCTGTTTGGAGGAGCAAGAGGAGTTTGTCAGCAGATGCATGACAGAACCAAGGAGGTGATACTTCCCCTCTATCGGGCACTGGTCAGACCGCAGTTGGAATACTGTGTCCAGTTTTGGGCGCCACACTTCAAGAGGGATGTGGATAACCTGGAGAGGGTCCAGAGAAAGGCCACTCATATGGTTAAGGGCTTGCAGGCCAAGCCCTACGAGGAGAGACGAGGGCACCTGGACCTCTTCAGCCTCTGCAAGAGAAGGTTGAGGGGTGACCTTATGGCTGCCTACAAATTCATCATGGGGGCGCAGAAGGGAATTGGTGAGGCTGTACTCACCAAGGCGCCCCTGGGGGTCACAAGAAATACTGGCCATAAGCTAGCAGAGAGCAGATTTCGACTGGACATTAGGAAGAACTTCTTCACAGTTAGAGTGGCCAAGGTCTGGAATGGGCTCCCAAGGGAGGTGGTGCTCTTCCCTACCCTGGGGGTCTTCAAGAGGAGGTTGGATGGGCATCTGGCTGGGGTCATCTGAACCCAGCGCTCTTTCCTGTTTATGCAGGGGGTTGGACTTGATGATCTATTGAGGTCCCTTCCACCCTAACATCTATGAATCTATGAGGTGGCAAGCTAGAAGAAACTAGAGAGAGGGGTCTCTGGCAGTTGGCAGGCTGAGCAGACTGAGGGGAGAAACCACTGCCCAGCCCCTCTGCAAGGAGGCAAACACTATAACAAATTAATTAACTTTTAAAATGGGGTGCTGCTCAATTCACAAAAGTTAGGGAGGGGTGCCTTGAGTCTAATGGGGGTGCATCAAATCTAAAAGCATTGAGAACCACTGGCATAGACTAACTCAGTGGTTCTCTACCTTTTGGGTCTCATTTGTGCTGTTTTCTGAACTCCAGTCACCCTGGCCTTGAGGAGAGGGTGTAGCATTCCTTGAGGCACCCCTCACTGGACTCAAGGCACCCCTTCATACCTTTTGTGAACTGAGTGGCACCTGCTTTCAAAAACTAGCATATATATCAGTACTTACTTCCTTGCAGAGGGGCTGGGTAGAGGAGGTTTGGGATAACCCAAGGCAGGGACAAGCCTGATCCTGGCTTATTTGTTTAGCCTATCTGCTTATACCTCTCTTATCTTATCACACCTCCAGACAGCCTTCAAAGGATCTAGGGACATCTTCAGGTGCCCCAGCACTCTGGTGGAGAATCACTTGACTAAATAAATCAGAGATGCAGAAGCCTTCATAAGCAGAAGTTTACTTTATCAGACGCTATGTCTGATTTAGTTAGTCTGTTAGGTGCAAATCTACCTTACATTCTGCCTGACTTCAGACTAACAGAGCAGAGGTGAATTTACACTTGGTGAATATCACAGAAACCATAGTTTCATAGTTGGTAGGGTTGGAAGGGAGCTGAGCAGATTATCGAGTCCGACCCCATGGCAGGAAAAAGTACTGGGGTCAAACCAAATGAATGGCAAGATTGAATTTGGCCGTGTTGCTGCTGTGGGCTGGTAGAAGGGAATAAAAAGGAAGGCAATAAAATATGAAAATTGCAAACTGAACAGAAAATGTCATTTCAAAACAAAAAAATGACAAAAAAAATCCTAAAATGTTGAAACAGGACAACTCAGACCTTACCAAAACTCCCCTCCCTCGCCCAGGTTACATTCAAAATTAAAATCTGGTAAAACTGACCCAGTAGCAAAGCACGGCAAGCTCTGCATGTTCTGCCAGCTCTGCATGTACTGTCCCAATAAATTTTCTCTGACTGGCTCCAGTCATCACCTGCTTACTCTTTGGGGTAAACACACTGCCTATGCAACTCTAAAATTATGTCAAACTTTTCACAGTCAAATACAATCTGCAAAGCCCTATCTAACTTGCTGTGTAGACTCATGCATATTGCTCTACTTTTTTTGGGTTTTTTATGAAAATTTTTCGTAACCCAGGCCAAATTAGTCAGATCAGTCCAAATCTGTTTGAGTCATTCAAGAACTATATGCAGCTCTACTACTGGCAAGTATCCTCCACCCCAGCCTGGGGCTTCAGATACTTCCAAATCCTTTGGCGGGCATCCTACGTGCAAGTCCAAGCCCAGAAGCTTGGGGTTCGGATGCCCCAAGTTTCATTTGCCCTCAGCCATACAGCTGCAGGAGCAAGCTAGGGAGGAGTCTCCTATTTTCATAAAGTCAGCGTGTAGCCAAGATTCTCCCATTGGAAGCTGGCCGGCGGGAAGCTAACTATGAGGCTTTCACAGGGAGTCCTGTCTGCAAACAAGCAAGGGTGCACCCTCCACTATATAGTGCCATTTTAGTTGCATTACCTCGGTCAGGGTATTTCCCCTGCCAGGTAAGCATGTTAGTCTGTCTACACTGCAGTCACTGTTAGATATTGCTAACTATGTAGTTAAGGCAGCACAAAACTCAGCACAGGCTGCAAAGCCAACACAAGAAGTTGAGTAAACACTTTTAACACTTAACCCAGGCCTCAAGAGGAAATTGGATGCTTATCTTGCTGGGATCCTATGACCCCAGCTGACTTTCTGCCCTTTGGGCGGGGGGCTGGACTTGATGATCTTCCAAGGTCCCTTCCAGCCCTAATGTCTATGAAATCTATAAAGTTCCCTTCTTGGTTAGTAATCCCTGAGCTGGCTGGTTTAAAACTAGCTTAGGCATGAGCAACTGGTGCCTTCCAAGACTGGGGGGGGCACCATAGTGGTGAGCGGTGAGCAAGGACTGCCTGCAGACACCACCGTCGGTGTTAGTGGCAGCAAACAGGGACCACCTGCAGACACCGGTGGTGATGGTGAGCGGGAACCGCCCACAGACACTGGCGGCGGGACACCAGGATGCGGCGAGTGGCAAGTGGGAACCGCCCACAGATGCCAGCAGTGGTGTCAGCGGTGAAGGTGGGGCGGGTGGCAAATGGCGACCACCTGCAAAAGCTGGCAGTGGCTTCAGCAGCAGCCAGTCTCAGGGGGGGCATGTGCCCCCCTGTGTCCTCCCTACGCATCGCCTATGAATTTACATATGTCTATGTAAGCATTCCGTGTAGACACATCCTATATCTATGTTAGCATCCTTATGTACCATATTTTTCCTTTTCCTCCTTTTTCCTCTTTTTCAAAACTTGCAGCTTCAGTAAGTTCCTTACCTAACAAATCCACTACCTTGATGCCATCTTTGACTTGCACAACACCAGAGATGCTGTCACTAAAATCTTGCTGGATTTTCCTCTACAGTGTCTTCAAAATCCAACAGCTCCTTTCCATTCTCAGCACTAAAGTTCCTGACCTGGAGCAAAGCACCAGAAGGATTTCTGGAGATGGTCCCATGACCACTCTAGTTTTCCTTTACTACACGTGTGCCCTATGGGCCCTCCCCTCTTCCAATTTTGCCATCAGCTTGATCAAGCAGCTCTAGTATTCTGCTCCTGTTGACTCCCACATCTGACATCTATTTGCTGCCTTCAGCTTCCCCCTTAAGTTCTCCCTCTTTTCAGAGTTGTTCTGTTTCAACATTTTGGGAATCAAGATCTCACCAATTTTGGTAAAGAGAAGATTACTGATATCCTCCAAGACTGTCCTTTTCCCACTTCTTCCTTCCTTCTTTGCAAGGAGCATCATGCCTCAAAATTTTGCCACTACAGAAATGAATGGCAAGTAGCACAAATATGATTGGAAGCTTTTAAGATGGGTTGGCAGTGATGCTGGGAATCCTAGGGCAAGGAATCATGTCTTTTGGTGAGCTTGATGAAGGTCAAGGACATGCATTCTGACAGGGCCAAGCGGAATGATGGCAGGAAGTAGGACTGGAAGCAAGGAGATCTCAGAGATCTGTTCCTGTGGGGCCTGGGCCAAGTTACTAGGGTCAATACTTTTCAAGTTTGGGAACCTGTAGTTAGGCACTGTGGCAGAAAGCCACCTTGGTTTCTCCCCAGGAATCTCTGCCCTGTGACACTGTGATTTGGATCTCTGTGCTGTGACCATTCAATTAGGATGGGCCCAGCACACAGAGGACCACACCCTCAGCCTGTCTCTTTAGGGAACTTGAGCTGGCTGCATTCCTGAGGGAGGGGGAAACCTGCTCCCTCTGCTTACGTGACTGGTACCTGGGTGAGGGGCATCTACCTGGGGAGCTGGAATCTGCCCAGTAA